ATAGACTTGGGTTGCTTTCACTTTTTGGCTATTGTGAATAATGTTTCTATGAACATGGATGTGCAAATATCTCTTTGAGACCCTGCTTTCAATTATTTGGGGTAGATACTCAGAAGTAGAATTGCTGAGTCATATGGTAATTCTATTTTTAATTTTTTAAGTAATCTCGATTGTTTTCCACACTGTACCATCTTACACTCCACTGAAAATGCACAAAGGTTTCAGTTTTTCCACATTCTCATCAACACTTGTTTTCTGTTTTGTTTTGTTTTTTATCCTTACCTGAGGACATTTTTCTATTTTTTGTTCAGAAAGAGTGGGAGGGAGAGAGAGGAAGAAAGAGAGAGAAACATTGATGTGAAAGGGACACATTGAGTGGTTGCCACCCGCACGACCAACCAGGGCCGGGGACAAACTGCAACTGAAGTATATGCCCTTAGTGGGAACCGAACCCAGGTCTCTCTGGACTGCAGGCTAACACTCTAACAGCTGAGCCAAACTGGCCAGGGCCTATTTGTTTTTTAACAGTGGTCATCTTAACGGGTGTGAAGTGGTATGTCATTAACATTTTGATTTGTATTTCCTGAATGTTTAGTGATGTTGAGCATCTTTTCATATGCTTATTGGCCATTTGTATACCCTCTTTGGAGAAATGTATATTCAAGTTCTTTGCGTATTTTTAAATTAGGTTGCTTTTTATTGTTGAGTTTTAGGAGTTTCTTATATTCTTTATATTAACACTTGGATATATATCTGGATATAAAGCAGATATATGATTTGCAAATGTCTTCTCCCATTTGTGGCTTGCCTTTTCACTCTGTTGATTGTTTCTTTCGATACACAAAAGTTTTTAATTTTGATGTAGTCCAATTTATTTATTTTTATCAACTATTGCCAAATCCAATGTCATAAAGCTTTTCCTATGTGTTTTCTTCTAAGGGTTTTATAGCTTTAGCTCTTACATTTAGGTCTTCAATTATTTTGAGTTAATTATTGTACGTGGTATAAGATAGGGTTCAGCCTCATTCTTTTTTTTTTTATCCTCACCTGAGGACATTTTTCCATTTTTTTGTTCAGAGAGAGTGGGAGGGAGAGAGAGGAAGAAAGAAAGAGAGAGAGAGAGAGAGAAACATCAACGTGAAAGAGACATGTTGAGTAGTTGCCACCTGCACCACCCAACCAGGGTCAGGAACAAACTGCAACCGAGGTACATGCTCTTAGTGGAAACCAAACCCGGGTCTCTCTGAACTGCAGGCCAACGCTCTAACAGCTGAGCCAAACCGGCTAGGGCTATTATAGTTTTGTAATAACTTTGAAAGTATGAAATCAGGAAGCATGAGACCTCCAACTTTGTTTTTCTTTTTACATGATTGTTTTGGCTATTCAGTGATCCCTTGAGATTACATATCAATTATAGAATGTATTTTTCTATTTCTGCAAAAAATGCTGTTGGGATTTTGATGAAGATTGCATTAAATCTATAGATCACTTCAGGTAGTATTGACATCTTAACAACATTAAGTCTTTTGATCTATGTAAATGGGATATCTTTTCATTTATTTATATCTCTTTAATTTCATCAACATTTTTTAGTTTTTGGAATATAAGTCTTTCACCTCCTTGTTTAAGTTTATTCCTAAGTATTATTATTATTTATATTTTTAGAGAGAGAGGAAAGGAGAGGTAGAGAGAAATATCAATGAGAGAGAGAAATATCATCAATGAGAGAGAGAAACCAGCCAGGGCTCAGCTGACAGTCTTATAGGAGCTCCCTTATAGGTAACAAACTGCTTTTCTCTGTCTGCTTTTAAGATTCTCTCTTTGTCTTTAACCTTTTGCATTTTGATGATGGTGTGTCTTGGAGTGGAACTCTTTGGGTTCATCTTGTTTGGAACTCTCTGTGCTTCCTGGACTTGTATGTCTGTTTCCTTGACCAAGTTAGGGAATTTTTCTTTCATTATTTTTTCAAATACATTTTCAATTTTTTGCTCTCTCATTTCTCCTTCTGACACCCCGATGATGTGAATGTTGGTACACTTGAAGTTGTGTACCCAGAGGTTCCTTACACTATCCTCATTTTTTTTTTTTTTAATTCTTTTTTCTGATTTGCTGTTTTTTGCTTCCTTATATTCCAAATCGATGGTTTTACTTCTTGGCTTCACCTACTCTACTATTGATTCCCTGTAAATTATTCTTTATTTCAGTTAGTGCATCATTCATTTCTGACTGGTCCTTTTTTATGCTCTTGAGGTTTTCACTAAGTTTTTTGACATTCTCACTAAGTTTCTTGAAATTCTCACTAAGTTCATTGAGCATCCTTATAACTAGTGTTTTGAACTATGCATCTATTAGATTACTCATCTCTGATTCATTTAGTTCTTTTCCTGGAATTTTATTATGCTCTTTCATTTGGGACATGTTTCTTTGTCTCCTCATTTTGGCTGCCTCCCTGTGTTTGTTTCTATGTATTAGGTAGAGTTGCTGTGTCTCCTGGGCTTCCTAAAGTGGCCTATTGTAGTAGGTGACTGGTAGGGTCCAGTGGCACAGGCTCCCTGGTCACCCCAGCTGGGCCCTCATGGTGCACCCCTTGTGTGGACTGTCCACTCTTCTGTCATAATTGAGGCTTGATTGCTGTTGGCACATCAATGGGAGGGATTTACTCAGGTTGATCAACTGCAAGGACTGGCTCTGACCACTGACCACTGACCTCTGACTACCTTGGAGGATCAGCTGTGGAGGGCCCACCACACAGAGCAAGACTTACTTCATCAGGGCTGTGGTACCGAGTCCACTCCTTGAGTGTGTCACTTGTGAAGGTGGTTGAATGGTGGTGCTTCGACATAATCTGAACTGTCCACTGGGTGTGCTGGCTCTGGGGCAAGGTCAGCCTCTGCCTGTGTTCTGCCTTGGACCACCAGGTATAAGCTACAAAGTGATCTACAGATGGCTGCTTCTTGTGCTGGTCTTGGAGGTGCCCAGGAAAAGCTAAGAGTTGTGAACCAAGGCTAGCTGCTTCTAGTGCCAGGCCTGGGGCAAGTTAGCTAGAGGTATGGGGCTTGCTGAGGCCAGGTGCTGTTTAAAAGAATTTAGGAAAATCTGAGGCAAGAGCCAAGACAGGCCAATCCTATAGTAAAGCCACTGGAAACAGCTTGGTTGGGCCTGAAAGCTGGGTGGGGCAGGGCCTCAGGGAATTATCAGAGTGGGATAAATGTGTGAGCCAGGTTGCTGGAGTCCCAGATATGGCAGCCGTCTTCCTTCTCCTTGGGGGAAGGGCTCACCAAAGGAATAGTGGCCTCCATCAGCATGTCTGTCTGGGAGAAAGCTGCCTCTCCAGCTCTCACCCCGATGCCAAACAACTCAGTTCTTCCCCATATGTTTCTGTTGCCTTTCAAGCTGCCTCCCCGATGCTGGAGCCTGGAGGGAGCAGGTCTGAGGAAACCTATATGTGGGCCCTTTAAGAGGAACTGCCTGGGATGCCAGAAGCCTCCGCCTCTTTCAGCCTCAATTCCTGCTGGTTTTTACAGCTAGAAGTTATGGGGACTTGTCTTCCTGGTACTGGAACCCTGAGTTGGGAGCCTGGTGTGGGATGGGGACCCCCTCACTCCTCAGGGAGGACTTTCCCAGCCAAAGTATCCCTCTTGATTTTTATCTGCCACATGTGGGTGTGGGACCAGTCCAACCACGCCTCTACCCCTCCTACCAGTCTCGATGTGGCTTCTTTAATTTTGTAGTTGTAGGACTTCTATTCAGCTCTATTTTGGGCGGTTCTGAATGATGGTTGTTCTGTAGTTTAGTTGTAATTTTGATGTGGTTGTAGGAGGAGGCGAGTACTGTGTTTACCTACCTGCCATCTTAACTGGAAGTTCTCTATTGATTTTTAGATAGAGTGGGGGGAGGAAGGGAGAGAGGGAGAGAGAGAGGAGAGAAACATCGATTGGTTGCTTCTTGCACGGGGCTGGGGATGGAACCTGCAACTCAGGTACATGATCCTTCTGTCCACAGGCCAATGCTCTAACTGCTGAGCCAAACCAGCCAGGCTGCAACTGATTTTTTAAATTGTTGATAGTATTACAGATGTCCTGCAACTGATATTGTATCCTGTAAATTTGCTAAATTCATTTATTCTAACAGGTTTTTTTTTTTGTGGGGGGGGGGGTGTTATCTTTAAGGTATTCTACATATAAGAACATGTCATCTGCAAAAAGAGATAATTTTGCTTCTTCCTTTCCAATTTGGATGCCTTTTATTTATTTTTTCTTGTTTTTGTTTCTCCTAATTGCTCTGGCTAGGACTTCCAGTACAGTGTTGAATAGAATGGTGAAAGCAGGCATCCTTGCCTTGTCCTGATCAAAGAAAGGAAAAACATTTAGTCTTTCACCACTGAGTATAATGTTATTGGTGGGCTTTTCATATATGACCTTTATTATGTTGGGGTAGTTTCCTTTTATTCCTAGTTTGTTGAGGCACCACTTTTGCCCTTTCCTTCTTCCTCTGTCCTCAATCCAGAAGAGACCAACTTGTCACTTTCCTTCTTGTAATAACCCTTCCTACATTTTAGAGTAGACACCTGAAAGAAGGCAGCTTTGATTTTCCTTCAGAGAATTTTCTCACAGTTCTCTTCCCCTTTCTGTTAATTTATCCACTTATAACGCAAACCTGTGTTGAGGCTGCACCGTGTGCCAGGCATGGGCATGGTGCTTTCTTGCTCATGGGAGGTTTCATGTACGTTGTCTCAGCCTTCACAGGAGCCTCTGAAATAAGAATGATTCCTGTCTATATTCAGAAGCAGAGGTGCAGAGGGGCTTGCTCAAGGTGAAATTAGCTCCTACGACTCCTTGGCCCTAATGTATTAACTCCTGCTTTTTCTGTGTCCAGCCCTTAAGCCATGTTGCTAGCCCATGGGCAAATGCCTCCTGTTTCTCTTAAGCTGGCTGTGAGCTAAGTGGAAAGGGCCCTTTCTCTCCTTACATTCTGAAATCTTTCTCTCCTTACATTCACAGAGGTCCTGGGCCTATGTCAAGAAGTGCAAAGACAACATGCGTCCAAATCGGGCCTTGGTGGCTCAGCTGTCGGAGTGGGAGACGATTGTCCTTGGAGACTTTGTCACAGATATCTCAGATCCACTCTATTGATCTCTGTGGCCCAGCTGTGGGTCCTGAAGAACTTTTCTTGGGAGCTTCTTGTGGGTAGTGGGCCAGGATGTGTATGTAACCAGGTTGGTGTGGAAAAAGGCCTTTGCTACCTGGAGCCTCTTGTCAGCCTCCTGCATTGGTTCTTCCCAGGCTCCGTTGTTCATGCCACATAGCAGGTGCACTCTGCTCAAACTCAGTGAGCACTCCATCCCTGCATCATCCTGGACCATCCCCACTGCACTCCTGAGGCTGCCTCTGGAAGAGCATCTGGCTACCAGAACAGCTGCCCCACATGCCTCCCCTGATTTGGATCCTTTGCAGGCTGCCTGGGGGGAGCTCCAGAGGTTCCCTCTGCCAGTGTTGGATCACAGGGTGTGTCACATTGCCCACCCATGAGCACAGATTTCCTAGTCCTAGAGATGCCATGTCCAGGCTCCAGGCTCCACAGCTGGGAGGCTCCTGGCCCAAGGGCATACCTTTGTCTCATCCACAGTCCCAGCATGCCCCACAGGGGTTCATCACTTGTACAAGCCCGGCTGCCTCCCAGGGTGCACCCCAGGTGCACTTAGTCCAGACCTTGCTGCCCGGAGGGTGGGATGGCATTACCCATGGCTCTCCCATCTTCCAACACCTAGGTTTCTATAAATTCTTCAGGTCTTGAAGGGAGTTTTCTTCAGAATGCACTTCTGAGTGCTGGCAGCACCCACAGAGCAAGCCTGGAGTCAGGAGGGGACACAGACAAGGGGACTGATGGGGAATTTAGGGTGTCCATCAATTGTTCATCAGCAAATATTCCTTGCCCCAGGACTGGGGACAGAGAGATGAACGCCATCTCATTGCTGCAGAAGGTTGGAGGTCCTGCCTACCCCCAGGAAGCCTAAGCCCTCGAGTGAGGTAAGGGCATTTTTGGCCATGCAGGCCTTAGGCTCTGGAACACATCCTGGGATGGCTGCAGAGCGATGGCTCTGTCACTAGGGACGGTAGGCAGGGCAGAGCCTTCGGAAAGTTTTAGGCAGGGACATGGGGGATTAGCCTGGTGTTTTAAGAAGAGCATTCTGGTAGCTGTGTGAAGGGACATAGCGATGAGCCTGGAGGCAGGGACACAGTAAGGAGACCTTTGTAACAATCCAAGCGAGGTTAGAGGTTCAGAATTACCCTCCCCGCAGAGGCACAGCTTCCCAAGAACGAAAGTGTTTGAGGCGGTGTCACCTCTCAGGGCTTTGGGTTACTTCCAGCATGACGGGCCGAGGTACTGCTGGACGCACCACGCGGTTGGCACTAGTGGAGCTCAGCGAGGGGCCCGCCGCCGCCTCAGCGGTAGCCTAGGTCCGGAGTGGTCTGGAGTCGGCGGGCAAAAGACTCTGGGTGTACTTGGCTCCGCCCAGGCCCCACCCTGGGCCTGGATTGGCTCCGGTGGGGGCGGGGCCAGCGCATTCGCTGCTCCAGGTCCTTTTCCCATTGGTGAGCGCAGCGGCGCGAGCCCGGAAGCGGACGGGGGCGGAGGCGGCGGAGACCGAGGCGCCTCGGCCGGCTGGGGTTGCGGCAGCGTCCTCTACTCTCGGCTGGTCTGGCGCCGGGCCTGGCAGCCATGCATCCCACGTCCCCAGGCCCGCTGGGCGACTGCCTGCGGGACTGGGAGGAGCTGCAGCAGGACTTCCAGAGCATCCAGGTGAGGGCCAGTGCGGGTGCTCCTTGGCCCCGAGCCATGTCTCTTTGGCTCGGGGTCATGGGTTGGGCCGCTCTGTGTCAGGCAGCGGGGAGCTCGGGGTCAGGGATTGGGGACCCTGGCGTCATTCCCGAGGGTGGCGAGGCCCCGGGTCCCGGCTGGACTCTCCCCTCGGCCTCAAGTCAGTGGTTCTTGGAGGCACACTTCGCTCGCGCGGCCGCGAGACCCCGGTGGGACCTCACTGCACCCGTCAGACCTAGTCTCCTGCGAGGGCCTCAGGAAGGGGCCCCAACCCCTCACTTTCTTCCGGAACAGTGGCCGCTTGAGTCAGAGCTGGCCCGGCCCAGTCTTGGGTCGGTCACTCAGCAAACCTGCCGTAGGCGCCGGCCAGGCCGGAGCCGTGGGTAGTGACGTCCCACCCTCCGGGCAGCGAGGTCTGGACTGAGTGCACCTGGGGTGCACCCCGGCAGGCAGCGGGTTTGGGCCAGGGAAGTGGTGTGTAGGTGAAGTCCTTGGCCTGGGTGGGGGCGGGGCCGATCTGGAGTGAAGGACAGTGCCCACGAAGACAGCCATGTGGCTGTTGTGAACAGTGAGGGGAGAAGTGGGTGGGCCAGACCCTTCAGGGACTATATGGGCCTGGCGGGGATTGAAGTCTCTTTGAGAATAGTGGGAAGCCACTGGTAGAATTAGCTGGATCTGGCTTGTGTGGGCTGCTGTACTGTTCTGTAGGGAGTCGAGAGAGGAAGGGGCTGCTGGCTGCCTCTTGGCAGGAGAGGTGGGGGCTGGGCGTGCGCAGAGATGGAACATGCTGGGTTCTGAGAGGGCGTGGTGGCCCCCCCTCTGTTTGAGAAACTGTACCCAAACAGGGTTGAGCTCAGGCAAGCTCAGCTTTTGATTAGGCCTTTGCCTCTCTTGGACTGGTTCCAGTCCCTTCCTGTCTGCATTGAAGCCCAGTTGCCCCCTGACCAGCCAAACCTGCTGCTATTAGTGCTTCTTCCCAGAGTCCTGAGCAGAGTAGACTAGCCTCCCAGCTTGATCACCACTGTTCTGGCCTCAGTCCCTGCCTGATCTTCCTCATATTGGCCCTTACCCAATCTCCAGGCTGCTCCTTCTCTAGATTCACTCACCAGGACAAAGTGCTCTGGGAAACTTTGGGCCAAAGGTCCAGGGGAGGGGTATGGAACTGGTCTTATAATAGGAGATACAAGGGCTGAAGCCTGATGACTTTTAACCTGGGAGGAAGATGCTGGGAGTGCCAGAGCAGAAGATATCTTGGACATCCCCAGCTCCCCCCAACAGTTGTAGGCTGGATAGGCAGGAGTGTCTGTGAGGGTCAAGGTGGCTGTAGGCAGCCTGCTTGGTCCAGAAGGTGGACCTGTAGGCCTAGAATCCAGACTCAGGGTGGGACAGAGAGGGGTGGGAACAACTAGTAGATGGGCTTAGACTCAAAAGAACCTTCAGGGAACTAGCCTTTTTCTGGAAGAGGGGTGCCATGGGGGCTTCTGGACTTGCAGGAAGAACCCTATCTCCTTGCCTGTCTTGAGGAGAGAGCAACCTTAGGGAGGTCCCTGGGCTGGCACAGCTGGCTGCCTCATTTCTTGCTGAGACCCTCCCAAGGAGCCCTGGAAAAATCCATGCCCCACTCCCTGCCCAGCAGGCTCTAGCTCAATGGTCCTCCAGCCAGTCTGACCCTTCCCTCAACCTGGTCCTCAGGAGACCCACCGGCTATACCGCCTGAAGCTTGAGGAGTTGACCAAGCTGCAGAACAACTGTACCACCTCTATCACTCGGCAGAAGAAGAAGCTCCAGGAGCTGACCCTTGTCCTAAAGAAGTTAGGATCCCCCTCCCTATGGCCCCACATCATAGCCCCTCAGCCTTGCTCTGGGGGTGGGTGTCTGACCTGGTAGGGTAGAGGGCTGGCACTGACTCTGGGAGTGTTCTTGGCACGTTTCCTCCCCGTTCTGGGCCACGTTAGCCCTCCTGCCCCACAGGTGTCAAGTGATACTCCTGCTCTGACTCTGGCTTCTGTGGTCCCAACTGCAGATGCAAACGCTCCCTCCCAGTGGGGGTCGAGGAGGCTTCGAAGGAGCTGGAGAACCAGATCAAGGAGCGTCAAGGCCTCTTCTTTGATATGGAGGCCTATTTGCCCAAGAAGAATGGGTGAGACCCCTTTCCAAATTCAGTTCACAGCCACTCCTGGGAAAGAAGCCTGAAGTGCACTCTTCCTCTGCTTGATCATTTTGTCAGCAGATATTCCCTTGGCCCACTCTGGGATGAGCAGTCAGGCACCCTTAGGGGAGCAGTCATTCTCAGGGGAGACAGCTGAGTGACAGTGACAGCTCCTGTGACTGGGTGCTTTGTGGTGAAACTACTGGGAACGGGAGTAAGGGAGGCCTACCAATCCAGCCCAGGAGGTCAGAGAGCCCCCTGGAGCAGGTGAGGCCTGAGTGGAGTTATAAAGGATGAAGGACTGAGCCAGGCCAGCTTAGGAAGGCAGTAACAGCAGGTGTGGTGGGAGGTGAGAGGTCATGATGAGACCACAGGGGAGCCAGGATGCAGAGCCCACCTTGGGCCCAGTAGGCAGGGGAGAGTGACAGGTCAAGTAAGCATGCACTTCCACAATCGAGGAGGATGACCAGGTCCAGTGCAGAACCCTGGGCTGAGCAGAAAGCAATCCAGCAGAGATGGCAGGTAGCCAGACAGCTGAAAGGGCTTGTCCCCAAAAGCAAGGTAATAAGGAGGGACAAGTGGCCTCAGATCAGATGGCCGCCGGGGTCAAATGCAGTAATGAAGGGGAAATGCTTCCTGGGAGTTAGGGTGACCTTGGAGAGAACCACTTGACAGGTCTGTGTGGGTGGAAGTTGATATTGGGAATGACAGAGCTGAGGAGACAGCCACGTTTAGGCTATACTTCAGAAGCTTGGCTGTGAATGGAAGGAGAAACTAGAACGTAGAACTTAGCATGAGGGTTGAGGGTAGGGGACAGCTTTTGCTGGAGTGTATGTGTAACTTTGAAAATAGGTCAGACTTGAGTATATTTACCTGCTGAGAGGTGGGGCCAACAGAGGGGGAAGACCCAGAAAATGGGCTCCAAGTGCTGAAGGAAAACTCCTAGGGAGATGGAGGGGCTGGGCATGGGCCTCTGTTGTTTGGGAGGGGAAGGGGTACAGATGAGTGTGACAGTGCAGGCAGGAGAGATGTCACATGCCAAGAAGGAAATAGGATAGAGGGTTTGGGGAAAGAGTGTTTATTGAGGCCACTTCTGGAGTGGGTAGGGAGCTGGTGGTAGTACTGAGAGACAGCCTGGCAGCCTGGGCCATGTCCCCACATGCCCCTTAATCTCTTCACAGCATTTGGCAAGTCCCTTAACCACTATGAGTCCATCCATATGTCTTGAGTATAAATAAGAGCCCATGTGTGGGTGTAGCTGCTTAGTACATGACTGTGACTCTGGTCACTTCTTGAGATTTCTCTGGCAGAAAAGGACAAAACAAGCTTAGCTGGTGGGTGTGATGGCAGTGCTAGGAGTTGGGAGTTACAGGTTGGCAAGAAAGCAGTTGACATGTGAAGGAGGGCTTGGGACTTAACTGTCTCAGGAAAGAGGGGCAACAGAGCCTGGGAGCCTCAGTGTGGGGAGGGTCTATGTGGTGAAATACTCGGGGATCAGAATATAACTAGTGTTGTGGGGGAGGCTGTTGTGGGTTGGGAGGAGGTCTTGGTGTGGGTGTGGGTGTGGGTTGGGGCTGTTGGGGCTGTAGGTTCTTGAAAGTAACAGGCACTATATGGTGGGTAATAGATGGTGCTCATGCACCCAAACATTGAATCCACTGCCCAGGCCCACAGGGATGATCTGAGATGTGGGCAAGGCTTCCATGGGGTGGGAAGAGTCAGGGTGCTCTTGAGGTCCCGTGGGTGACGATGACTAAGGAGGGAGGGAATGTTGGTTTACCTTGGAGTAAGATTTAGGAGCAGGCAGGCAGGAAGGGTGGGCATCAGTGTTTTCTGTGGAGTTGGTCCACAGCATCCCAAGGTCAGAGCCCTAAGCCAAGGCCATGGGAAGGCTGAGTGGAGCTGGTGACCCAGATACTGGCCTGGCTCCAGGGCTCTCTGCCTTTTAGTCAGGGCCTCTTCTCACCCCATCTCTCCCTTTCCTAGGTTGTACCTGAGCCTGGTTCTGGGCAATGTCAACGTGACACTCCTGAGCAAGCAGGCTAAGTAATTGGTTATTGTGGGCTGATTCTCAGCCCTGCTCTCCACACTTCTGGGGCCTCTACATTTTGCCCCAACTGTCCTGGCTGAGCCTTGGGGTTCAGGGGCTACTCCCCCATGCTGGCCCCATGCCAGCCCCATGCCACGCATGCAAGTGTGTTCGGAGCATGCGCCTCCCTCTTCAGGCAGAGGTGAGGGTGGGTCCCATCAGCACCCCAGCCTATCCCATGGGTGTGTGTGCCCATCCCAGGTTTGCCTACAAAGACGAGTATGAGAAGTTCAAGCTCTACCTCACCATCATCCTTATCCTCATCTCCTTTACCTGCCGCTTCCTCCTCAACTCCAGGTGGGTGTCCTGCTGCTCCAGGCCAGACCTGGTTTTCTCCTGGCTCCAGCACCAACCCTGTGTCTCCCCCTTTGCAGGGTGACAGATGCCGCCTTCAACTTCCTGCTGGTCTGGTATTACTGCACCCTGACCATCCGAGAGAGCATCCTCATCAACAATGGCTCCAGGTGGGCAAGGGCCTGACCCTAACTCCTGGGTGGTGGGGAGAGGATACTGGAGCTCCCTAGAAAGTGGGAAGGTGGTGCCATGGCCTTCTGAGAAGCAGGAACTGGGCTGGGGTGTTGGTTTCTTCCCACCTCAGACAGCTCCCTGTCCCTGAGCACCAGTCCTGGGGGCTAAGGGTTACAGGAGTGACAGCAGCTTCCTGATACAGGATCAAAGGCTGGTGGGTTTTCCATCATTATGTATCTACGTTCCTGTCGGGAGTCATGCTGACATGGTGAGTGGCCCAGCCTGGTTCCCAGGGCCTTGGCGGGGGGAGCCGGGACAGGAAGACTTGGCATCCACAAGGTCCCTACCCCTCCCTCTGATTTCTGCCTTAGGCCCGATGGCCTCATGTATCAGAAGTTCCGGAACCAATTCCTGTCCTTCTCCATGTACCAGAGTGAGTGTCAGAGGTCCTTGCTCAGGGGGAGGGGCAGGGAAAGGACTTGGGGCTCCAGCCCAGTCCTGATGCCCCCCACCCCCTAGGCTTTGTGCAGTTCCTCCAGTATTACTATCAGAGCGGTTGTCTGTACCGCCTTCGGGCCCTGGGGGAGAGGCACACCATGGATCTCACTGTGGGTGAGTTGGGTGTGCCCCCTCCCCACTGTGGATCATGACTGGGGAGCTGGGAAGGGGAAGTCCTTTCCTCTTGACCTGGGCCTGAGTGATGTGTCTGTCACTGGTTATTCTGTGCCCTGCTCCTCCCTCACAGAGGGCTTCCAGTCCTGGATGTGGCGGGGCCTCACCTTCCTGCTGCCCTTTCTTTTCTTTGGACATGTAAGTTGTGTCTGTGTCCCCATCCATCTGGCTGTCCAGCCCCTGCTCTGAATCGAGCAGGGACTGTGTTCTATGTGAAATCCTCTACCCTCCCAGTTCTGGCAGCTTTATAACGCACTGACGTTGTTCAGCTTGGCCCGGGATCCCGAGTGTAAGGAGTGGCAGGTGAGCTGGGGCCCCTGGAAAGGACCCTGGGACGGCCAGGGTTCGGCCCCTGTAATAACCCCAATTCCTCCCCCAGGTGCTCATGTGCGGCCTTCCCTTCCTCATCCTCTTTCTTGGCAATTTCTTCACCACTCTGCGGGTTGTGCACCAGAAATTCCACTGTCAGCGACATAGGAGCAAGAAAGATTGAGGCTGGGGCTTCTGCCCACTGGCCCGAAGGGGCTTCTGTACCCCATGTATTGTTTGAGGGAGTGGGAACTCCCTCGTCCAGAAGGTCTTTTCTGCTCTCCCTGGGTTTTGTGGGCTCTGTGGGCCCCGAACACTGTGCTGGGGAAGACCACTGTGTCCCAGGCTGTGGGGAGCCAGTGGCCTCAATAAAGGAAGAGAAGCATAGAGGTGGCTCTGAGCGTGTGGTCTCCTGAGGGTAAGGCAGGGGCCTGCTAGTTCTCTGTGCTGCCACAGCACGGTTCGTGGGGCTCCTGAGGTGGTCTCTCTGGTATCTCAGCTAAGTAGACCCAGGTGGAGGTCCCAGTTCTGTTTGAAGAACATCAGGCAAATACAGAAAACAGAACTTTATTCCAAGGGCCAGAGGTTATTTAAAATTATTTACATTCATTGAAAATCACGTGGAGGGGCCAAGCCCTCGCTCAGCTGAGAGAAGAGCCCCTTCGGTATAAGCACTGGAGGCCTGAGGTGTTCACAAAGTGTGGGCCTGGTCACCCTTGGCCATGTGTCCCTGTGGCCAGGGGGTTCCAGAGGGCACATCGTGGGCCTGGAGCGGTCTTTGTCACTGAGTGTGCATCCTGGGACAGGCCCAGCAGAACCCATCCAGAAGACGGGCAGAAGGGGGAGGAAAGTGATTACAAGGGGAAACGAGTCTATATAGTGTGTGAGGGCTGGGCTAGGCGGCTCCTAGCTCCACACATCTAGGGAGTATCGGCCCTTGGTCATGAGTTTCTTGATATAGTCCACAGCCTGGGTGTGTTCCATGGACCCTAGCTCAGCCACGATGTCATAGAAGGTGTTCTGCACGTCCCTCGCCATGTTCCGAGCATCCCTGTGGGGAGGAAGAAGGTGACACTGAGGGCTGGGCAAGGAGTATCCCCATGGGCAGAGTCTTACCCCTCCCACTCCTCTGCCCTCACTCACCCACAGACATAGATATGGGCGCCCCCTTCATGGATCAGCTTCCACAGGTGCTCCTTGTCCCTCTTCAGTAAGTGCTGGACATAGACCTGAGGGCATAGGGTGGTGCCCATAAGGAGGCCAGTCTCACAGCCACCCACCCCCCTCCCCGTGGCCTGCCCCTTCCTCACCTTCTGGGGCTGCTCCCGGGAGAAGGCCACATTGAGCTGGGTGAGGGAGCCCTCCTTGTGGAACTGGGCCAGCTCCTCACGGTACAGGTAGTCCTCGTCAGAGCGGCGGCAGCCATAGTACAGCAGCGTCTCCCCCACCTCCTTACCTGGTCGGGGGAGCAGCCAGGCTGAGCGTGGAATCAGTCCCATCCCTGCCCCCCCCCTCCAACCCCTGCTGGGGCCCCCACACTTACCCTGCTGCTTCAGCCAGGCCCGCTCCTGAATGAAGCCTATGAAGGGGGCTACCCCAGTGCCAGGGCCCACCATGATAACAGGCGTGGTGGTCTTGAAGGGCAGGCGGAACTGGGACTTGCGCACAAACATGGGCACCAGGGCCCGGCAGCCATTCTCCTGTGTGGGCTCCTTGGCCCGAAGCCAGCTGGTAGCCACGCCTTTGTTGATTCGGCCAGACTTGGTTTCATATTCCACAGCCACAGCACAGATATGCACAGAGTTGGGGTGGACCTGGCACAGGGCGGGAGTGAGCTCAGCAGTGGTGTCCAAGGCCCTTTCCTGCCACCAACACTGTCACCTGAGCCGTCTCAGCCTGGCATCCCTGCTCAGGGTTTCTCCATTCCCTTCATGGTGCCCAAACCTCAAAAGCCCCTTTCCAGCAGCTTTCCTGACCAGTTTTGGCACTGGGGCTGGTAGCAGAGTGTAATCTTACAGCCAGCCTACTGGATACACTGCCCAGTGAATCACGTGAACGGTCCCAGGTGTTTGGGTCAGAGCTGGGGCCGTGCTCAGGGCTCCCATGCACCTCAGAGAAGCCAATGCTACGCTTTCTGTAAGTTGCCCAGCCTCCCCCACCTTGGCGGAAGAAGCGATGGAGTAGTAGCGGGCCTGCAGCCGAGGCAGCAGCTCACACAGGTGGTCGATAGGGGGCCGCAGCGATGGGTAGTCCTGCAGGATGGCCAGGATGTGCCTCCGAGCCTCTACCACCCAGCTCAGGTACAGCTCCTATGGAAGACAGAACTTGGGGTGAGATACAGGTGAGGGGACACAGCAGTCCAGGGGACAAGGCTGAAGTTGGACTCAGGCTGCTTGGAGAGTGGCTGGGTAGAGTGGCCTGGGGGGTGCTGGCTGGGAGCTGCAGCCCTGCGTTGTGGCAGTCTGGGTGCTGAGAGTGAGTGGCAGGCTTACCTTGCCCTCACCCGAGGAGGAGGCCATCTTGCGCAAGTGTTCCTGCTCCGAGGGCTCCGAGGCGTACTGGGCCAGCTCATAGAGCACGTTGGTGCGCGGCGGGTTGGTGATGTCCAGGTAATAGGTGAGGGCTGTGCGGTAGGAGGTGGGGCAGGGGAATGGGTGCTTCTTGTTGGATTCCTCTGCAGGGACAGAGAAGGCAGGGTTTGGTGTGAATGGGCTGCCATGAGGTTGGGGTGGGGAAGCTGAAGGTTCTCTGCAGGAAGCAGGCAGCCCGGCTGGCACTGGAGGCAAGGCCAGCTCTACGTGGTGCTTCCTTGGCCCCGGGGCTGGGCCTCAGGTGTTTAGCCAGCCTCAAGCTTCAGGCCATGCAGGTAGTCCTCAACAGAGGTGGGTCCTGGCTAGGGGAGGCCTGGCACCCCCTGTTGCCACTCAAGGAGAATCCCTAAGTGGCTCACAGAGAGGGCTGCTGAAGCAGGGCTCCCCCAGTGTGTCCTGCCTGCCTAGAGGATGGGCCTGGTCTACTGTGGGGGCCACAGGCTCATGACGGAGATGCCAACCCTGGTGTTTTCAGCTGTGATGGCAGGGCTCCTCCGGGTCCGTTTTTATGCTTGGACACACCTAGAGGTCTACACAGGGCACATAGCTGGGCTCTTGGTGCAGCATCTTGTGCACTCCAGGTGCAGCCACGGGCTCAGGCCCTACCGCCAGCCCTTGCTGCCGCCTTCTGCTGCCACCGGTCCATAGGTCAACTTTACTGACCTCCCTCCCCCAAGTCAGGCTAGAGCAGGGCGCAGCCTGGAAGCTGCCAAAAAGCATCTCCACCTCTTAGAGGCCTGACTGTGGGGGCTGTTTATGCCTGTGCAGATGAGCCCCTGCAGTACGCTGAGGGGGTTGCTGAGGACACACAGAGGGCCTGGTTCAGGAGGGGCTCAGCATTTGGGGGTTTGGGTTTATCTTTGGGAGGAATTTACTGAAGTATAACCTACATGAAGTATACAAGTTATAGGTATATAGCTTAATGGATTTTCACAAACAACATCCTTGTGTATCCAACACCCAGATAAAAAAGCTGGGTGTTCCCAGCATCCCAGAGCCCTCTGTGCTGAGCGCGGAAACAGGGCTTAGGCCTCACACTACAGAGGAGGGCTGGGTGACTGCATCTCTTCTAAAGCTACACATCTGCCCTGGGGAGTTCTGAGCCTCTGCCCCTTTCTGAGCAGCTCTCATTAGTAAAGGGCCCCTGCAGGAGTTCAGATTACCCTGGGGGGCACAGTGAGCACACCACGACCTCCCCCAGCAAGGTGCCACCTCTGGTGGTACAGGGACATGCCTCAAAGAACAAAAGAGACAGACCCAGTGCATGTCCATTGTGCCTCCTCTACTGGCCTGACAAATTGTAATATCAGTCGGCCCCTTTCGTGCTGTTCCTTTCAAAGGCTGACTCTGGAGCTGGTGAGGAGCAGCCAGGCTAGGATGACTGAGGATGAGAGCGAGTGGGGCAGCATCAGGTATAGTTGGACCCCAGGTGGGTGGTCAGTGGAGGGTGCCAAGGGGTCATAGCAAGATATCAGAGCCAGGCAGTCCTTTGAAGCCTTGAGAAAACCCTGTACCATATTTAGTGCCTCTTGCACTCTAAGGCACCTTGAATGGACCCAGAGGGCTGTTAGGATTGCTGACTCTGATCCCTGAGTTTACAGGTGAGGAGACGCAGGCCCTGAAGCAGAGAGAAGGTAGCCACAGGCCCTCAGTCGCCAGGCATGGTGGAGCCAGGCCTAGGGACCAAGGCTCTGGCCTGCAGTCTCCTCTTCACAGGACATGGGTGTTGGTTAGGCACACCTCCCTCCCTCAAAGGACTAAGCCAGTGAGGGGATGAAGGGAATCCCCACATACAGGACCAATAACCATGCCATCTTGGGTGTAAGGGTCCTCTCGGGTACCAGGGCTTCAGGCCTAAGCAGCTCAACCTACAGGCTTGCCAAAGGCCCTATTCCTGCCAGCAGCCTCAGGCCTAGGCAGGGGGTTGTGGGGTGGTGGTGATTTGATTCCAGAACTTACCATCGAGATTGTTCAACGACATGACAACATCCAGGTCAGCACCCAGGATCTCACCAATCTGGTTGACCAGGGCAGAATCATTGGCTGGGTAAATAGCTACATGGTCACCAGATTCATACCTGGGGGGAGATGTAAGGCTCAGGAGGTGGAAGGCCTCTGTACCCAGATCAGGAGGCCCCAAGTGAAGGTGTGGGAGAAGGGGTGGTAGTAGCTGATACCTGATTTTGGAATTTGAGATGTCTAATTCTAGATGCATGAGGTGTCGCTCAGTTCCCTGGTTCAGCTTCCGGTTGGTGGTGACGACGGCTAAGAATGGATTCTTGGCATCAAAGGGGCTGGGTGGGGAAGAGAGCAGCTCAGTGATTGGCCACATCTTCAATCTAAATCTCCCTGCCCCAAAGGGATCCTTCTAGTTTCACAGAACACAGAGAACCTCAGAGCTGGCCTCCAAAGACCATGAGGAAACCTCTCCAATTACGTAAAGTGTTCCCCAGCTTGACCCCAGGCAGAGCTCCCAACAACTCCACAAAGTGGGCAGAGCTATGTTATCAGTGTCTCCATTTACAGATATGGAAACTGAGGCTGGGCCCTAAAAACCTGGGAGACCCTGCATACTCTGAACCCACTGGTGAGCTGAGGGCAAAGGAGGACTAGGCCCTTGAAGGTGTCTCCCAAAGACAGAAGGTGCTTGGGTCCTCGAGTGACTGGAGCAGCTTCTTCACCAGATGCCTGGACTACAACATGAATAGGAGATGAACTTTTGCTCTGTAAAGTCACTGAGATGGTGGGGCTTCCTAGTCCAGTAGGATTCCAGCAGGGCTGACTATAGCACAGCTGCTGGTCTTGAATCCTGGTAGTACAAGGAAGACTCTTCTTGGCAGCTCCAGCAGGAATCTGGGCAGCACCAGATATGGGCCCAGGAGAGGAACATTGCTTTTGGACAAAAATTCCAAATACTGAAGGAGAATTTGAGATAGTGCCCTTCTGCAAAAGTTCAACCTAGAACTTGCTGGGTCCTGGTTCAGGAACTGGTATGTACCTCCCACCCCAGGATATTTACAGAGCAAAATGTCAGAGCAAATTAAGTACAAACTGAGCAAGTGCCAGTCTCTCACTTGCCCTGGACTGAGGGACTACTGGGTGAGGAGGGGTCCTGAGGGCCCTGAACACAGAGCCACCTCCTGTCTCTCGCTCTGGGCCTCATGCCCTCCTGCACAGTGGAGATCCCCACCCATGCCCACTTTTGGACAAGAGTGGAGATAAGGATGCCCCACAGGACTACCAGTTGTTTCCTGTCCCCAGGAGCCTGAGATGGGGGGCGGGGGGTGCAAACGGCCACAGGGGCTGGCCTGAACCATGCTCTCCACTCACGGTTTCTGGTTCTCGTAGCTCTTCAGGCGGCCCATCTCACCCACATACACCTTGGCCATGTCTATGTCTGTGTGCACCACAAGCTCATACTGGCGAATGCTGGAAAGGGAAGACCAAGCATTCGTGAGGCTGGGGGCTGGTGGGGGTCAGGGGTCAGTTCCAAGATAGGAGGGAGGCTGCGTCAGGGAGTGAAACTGTCAGGAGACAGTACATGAGGGTCCAGCTGGACACAAGAGGCAGGAGGGAGCCAGCATAGAGCTGGGGGAGGGTCTGTGCAGCCTGGGGTTCAGCAGGCTTCCAGGTGGTTCTGTGAGAAGGTAAGGGAGGCTTGGCACTTTAGGCAAAGCCCAGTGCCTTAGCCTGGGATGCTCCTGTATCTGACTGAACTTCCCAGCCTCTTTCTCGAGTCCCCCCCCCCCCCCCCCCAGCCAAGTCTCCCACCCTCAGGAGGCACTCACCCACAGCCCCGCCCAGTCTATGGGCACATACTCACCTGGACTCCTCTCCAGTGGCTTCCACCCCAAAGTACTCGCACACAGCTGGCCAAAACTGCTCTCGCCATGTGATGAAGTCCTCCTCCAGGCTGGGGAGTGGAGGTAATGAGCCAGGCCCCAGGCCACCCAATCGTGGCAATGAGACCCTGCATTGGGCTGGCTTCCCCAACAGACTGGACTCTCTCCCCAGCATCTCCAAGAGCTTGAGGGCTCATTTCAAGCTGGCCCACTCAGTGACGTAACCCAAGGCATTAGGAAGTGTCTATAACAGCGGTTCTCAACCTGTGGGTCGCGACCCCTTTGGGGGTCGAACGATCCTTTCACAGGAGTCGCCTAAGACCATCGGAAAACACATATTTCCAGTGGTCTTAGGAACCGAGCCACTGCTGCTCTGTCCATCTCCAGGCGGGTCCGCCCACATGCAGATGCGCCCACACACAACATGAGGAACTGTATTAAAGGGTCTCGGCGTTAGGAAGGTTGACAACCACTGGCTAGAGTGTCTGTGCTAACCGTGGGCAGCTTCTATCTGAGCTGAGCAAACCAGGAGGATGGGGAAAAGCAAGGAAAGCCCACTCAGTGGAGTTGGGGGTGAGCAACTCCCCACTCTCGTGTATCACGGAGTTTCAACAGACACCATGGCTTTGCACTCCCTTCATGTGCCACAGCCAAGCCCTAACCCTGAGGGTCCTGAAACCTGACAGCTGGGGTGGGAGGCACCAGGGAGGGGGTGCCCAGCATGCAAGGCTGGGTCTGAGGCACTCACTTCCCGTCATCGTCGCCCATTCCCAATTCAAAGATCCGCTGGGCACCAAGTTGCTCTAGTCGCTTGTCCACATACTTGCCCATGGCATTGAAGTGCTCATAGGTCTTGTTCCCAAGACCAAATACCTGTGTGAACAGAGGGGCAGGTCTGAGGTCTGGCCAGCAGTCAGGAGTGGGCTCCCTACAGGGCTGGCCAAGATGCTAGGTGGGCCCCTGGAAGTGGCAGACCTTAGGCCCCTGGAAGTGGCAGACCAGGGCCCCCTCCATGGCCAACCTCTAAGCTTCAACCCTGGGTGGCCAGCAGGGGCAAGTCACCCTCCCCACCAGGCTCTCCTTGCCCAGCTGAATGTTGGTCATCCTGCCACACCTTTTTTGTCTTTAGTCTCCAGCAACAAATGCCCCCTAGAGCAAAGTGGGACTGGGGACACGGGAGCAGAAGCTCTCTTAGTGCTGGGGGTCAAGGTGAAAGAGGGAATTGTTCCCTTATCCCATGAGCAGCCTTTCCTGGGTCTCCCTGCCATGAGATACCGACCAGCCCCCAGCCCCCGGCCTGACACCCTGACCTGCCCTTGCTGATCAGAACAAGGTGAGACCTCTTAGACATGGGGGTCCAAAGGTCCAGGGCAGGTGCCACAGGCTGCCACCTGAGAGCCCACAGGGAGCCATTGGAGGAAAGACAGGGCGACTCACCGCATACTTGACTCCAGAGAGGTCCACATCTGTCTCCTGGAGCCAGTCATAGAAGTCCTGAGCATTGTCAGTGGGGTCGCCTTCGCCGTAGGTGGCCATGCAGAACACTGCCAGGGAGTTCTCTATCTCTGACAGGCTGCCCAGGTCGGCCTGGAGAGAGAAGGGCAGGGCCCGGTCCCAGTGACCATGACTCAGCCTGCTCAAGGTCAGGTCTGTACCTGATGGGGTGCAGACAAGTGAGTCCAGGGGTCGAGTGGAGGGGGTGCACTTGCAGAGGAAAGGGTGTTGACAGGCATAAACAGGCTAGATTCCAGACCACCAGCTGTTACTCAGAATGCGGTGCCCTGGGCCACCACAGTGAACCTCACTGTCCCTCAAAGTCCCTGGAGCACAGAAGGGCCTAGGCTTTCACTAATTCCTAGCCACTTGTTCACCAACTCCAAATCCAGGTCTGGAGACAGACAGGTAGTGGTGGCTGTCCCCAAGACTGAAGGCAGGGCGTGGAGAAGGTGTTGGGATGGCTTGGTTTGGGTGGTGAAGCAGCATGAGCAGAAAGCAGCTGGCACTCAGGAGGGAGTGGGTTGAGGGGAAGAACATGTGCTGGTGGAGCTGCAGGAGCACAGGCAATGAGTGGCGATGACCCCACCAGGGGAGAAGCAGGAAGGCAACTCCCTGGGGGGTTCTTCTTAGGACCAGCTGCTCACTGCCAGCCTCCCTCCCTCCTGGGTACCGAAGGAGTGGCTCTCCCTTCCCTGTCCACTGCTTCCACATGGGACAGGTGGCTTGGCTGTCATTAGTTCTTCTGACCCAGAAACAGGCAAGCGTGCTGCTGGAAGTTTCTTGCACTTTGAAGAGCTGCACCCACTTGAGGGGCAGAACAAGGACAAAGGAGCCAGTCCAGCAGGGAATGAGCAAGGCAAGCCCACCCCGCAGCCCTCAGAGACAGGCTGGGGCAGCTGAGGCCGAAGTCAGGACTGAATTCTGCACAGTCCCGTGGCGCCCAAAGAAGTGACAAGAGGAGGGGGCAAGGGCAGGAATCCAGCAGCTCCAAACAGGGCCTTTCTCAAGCTTCAGGTTCTCTCAGCCCCTCTAACCTGCACCGTTCCCTCGGGCCCTGTCCCTGCTCTGGCCTAAACAGGAGTTTGTGACTTCATTTCAAAGCCCAGCAGAAAGGTTCCCAGATATGGCCCATCCAACATTCCCCACCTGTAGACGAGGCAAGGAAGGCCCACAGGGGCACAGGCTCGCCCAGGGGATTAGAGCCAATTCCCCACCATTCGGTTCCCCTGCCGCTGCAGTTTGGGGGGGTGGTGTTCAGATGGAAACAGCTCCTCTCCTGACCTACTTTCATTTTAAAAGCCACACACCAATCCACTTCTGCTAGCACCCTCCCAGCACTTGTAAAGCTACACAGCATGGAGAGTACGAAAGGCCGAGCGTGAGCAGAGCTGGGAGTCACGTGCACACTTGGGCCAGGTGTGTTTTTTTTTATTGAATTTATGGGGTGACACTGGTTAATAAAGTCAAGTCTCCTTCCATCACCATTTATCCCCCCATACCCTCTTCTATTTCCCCCACCCCCCTCTGGTGTTCTTAATGTCCTTAAGACTGGGGCCACCTTGCTGTTAGTACAAATACTATGAGACATCCATTCCTCATTCCTATCTGTCCCTTTGGCTAACTCAACCCTGTAAGCATCTCTATGGTCCAGAGATGTCATCTTTAATGCTGCTGGAAGAGCTAGGAGGGAGGACCAGGGCATAGTGAGAGCTCACCAAGTCATACTCCTCAGGGTCTGCTGACATGCCCCGCATTCCATAGCGGTGGGCGTCCTTGGACAAGCGGTTGGCAAACTCCTCGGCGGTCCCCGTCTGGGAGCCATAGAACACGATGATGTTCCTGCCCTAGGGAAGGCCAGGTACGTGGGGTCAGTGAAGGGCCAAGAAACACAGGCTTCACCAGAGACCCCAGGTGACAACAGGGGCAGGCCAGGCAAGTGGGGCACCCTCTTTCCTTCTTGCTTCAAGTCCTTTCTAAGTCACTCTGGGGCTAGGATCTCGCTGCCACAGCTTCCGTGGTGGATGAGGGGCAAAGGCCACCCAGATGACTCCAGCAATCAAGATAATCTCACACCTACTCAAGATCACACTTTGGACAGATTTTTTTTTTTTTATCCTCGCCCGAGGATATTTTTCCATTTTTTGTACAGATAGAATGGGAGGGAGAGAGAGGAAGGGAGAGAGAGTGAGAAACATCGACGTGAAGGGACACATCGAGTGGCCGCCACCCGCACGACCAACCAGGGCCGGGGACAAACTGCAACCGAAGCACATGCCCTTAGCGGGAACCGAACCCGGGTCTCTCCGGACCGCAGGCCGACGCTCTAACCACTGAGCCAAACTGGCCAGGGCACACTTTGGACAGATTTTTAAAAGATGTGCAAAAAACCACAACAGAGTGTTCAGTAAAAAGAGATGACTAAACAGTATATATAGTATAATCCAATTTTGTTATATACCCATACCCACATATATGTGTATGTGTGTATATATGAATATGTTTATATACTCATACACACACACACAAAAGACTGGCAGGAAATATACCAAGAGTTTCTAAATGGGGAACTATGGGTTGGTTTTCTGGGTGATGATAAAAGTAATACATATTTATGAAAATGTAAACAATAGGGAAAAATACCATATGGACTGGCTCACATACTCTGCATCACACCCTCCTACTGTGCCTTCTATGCAGCAGCTACTGAAAAAGCTCCAACTCTATCCCCCAGATTCTCCTGCAGCTAGAGATGCAGCAAGTTAGGTCCAGCCAACTGGGTGTGCCTTTCGAGATCTGGAAGATGGAAGTGAGGCACAGGCCAATTTCTAGTCCCCTTATGTAGGCATGAGATATCTCTGCAGTGTTATCCAGTACCCAATCCCTAGAGTGGTCTCTGGCTTTTGCCCTAGCCCCAAATGATACAGGTACAAAGGACAAAATAAAACGTGGATTACAATTGTATAAAGTGTTCTCATACCTTTTACATTTCCTAAATTTTCTACAAATCATTTAAAAAGGTATTTTAAAATAATCACTACACAGACTACTTAATAAAGGAGGAAATGCTATAATATCAGGTTAAGGGAACCAAACAGGATATAAAATACTAGATAAATATTTATGGTAGCATCAAAATACATAAAGTACCTAGAAATAAACCTTGTAGGACTCAATGAAATGAAAAGGTCTTCTGATTTTAGAGAGAACTTAACATACAAGATGTCAGTTCTTCCTATATTAATAAAGAAATGTAATATAAACATTTTAATAACTATTTTTTCCTCAATAAATTGATTCTAAAAGTCCTATAAAAAATATGACTCCACAAATAGGAACATTATTTGGCAATAAAAAGGAATGAAGTACTGACAAATGGATGAACCTTGAAGACATACTAAGTGAAAGATACCAACCCAGCCTGGCCGGTGAGCATCATTCCATGGACTCAGAGGTCCTGGTTCGACTGCCAGTCAGGGCACATGTCAGGGTTGAGGGCCAAAACCCCGGTGGGGGGCATGCAGGAGGCAGCCAATCGATGTTCTCTTTCATCGATGTTTCTATCTCTTTCTCCCTCTCCTTTCCTCTCTCTCTAAAATCAATAAAGAAAAAAATTTTTTTAAAACACAAATAACAGTATGATACTGTACATACCCAGGCAACTAGATCAAATATTAGAATAGAAAAATAAGAAAAAAGACACAGACTCAAAAACCCATGGGAATTATGTATACGATAAAACCAGCAGAAAAAAGATGGACTCTATTACATGGAATTTAGGCTGTGTAAAAAAAAGTAGTGTTGGATCTATACCTTACCCCTTACACCAGGATAAAGTCCCAATAAACTGAATTTTTAAATATGAAAATGAAACCATAAAAGTACTAGAAGAAAACATGAAAGAATTCCTTTATCTCTCTAGAGTGGGGAAGGCCTTTCAAATGATGACTCAAAAGTCACAGAAAGAGCCCTGGCCAGTTTGGCTCAGCGGTTGGAGCGTCGGCCTGCGGTCCTGAGAGACCCGGGTTCAATTCCCGCTAAGGGCGAGTACCTCGGTTGCAGTTTGTCCCCGGCCCTGGTCGGTTGTGCGGGTGGCAGCCACTCGATGTGTCCCTTCACATCGATGTTTCTCTCTCTCTGTTCCTCTCTCTCCCTCCCACTCTACCTGAACAAAAAAATGGAAAAATGTCCTCGGGTGAGGATTAAAAAAAAAAAAAAAAGTCACAGAAAGAAGAATAAAGTGAACTGTGTAACTTTTACATGGTGAAACAGCAACAAAGAAAACCCACACATGATAAACCGAGTCAAAGCAAACTATTAACTGGGAAAAATATTTTTTAACTCATTATCACAGACAAGGAATAAATCTCCCTAATAATGTTAAGCAGTTCCTCAAGAAGAATCAATCCCAACAAAAAAGTGGGCAAAATATTTGAACAGAAAATCTATAAAAACAGAAAAAATAAAAATAAAATGCCACTTAACATATGAAAATCTGTTGAACCTCATTTGTAAGAAAAATGCAAGTTAGAACTACACAGAGATAGTATTTTTTAAACCTAGAAAACTGGCAAAACCCCAAACTTTGATAACAAACTCCGTTGGCAAAACTAAGGAACAGGTTTTCTCACACACTGCTAATGAGAGTGCCCTGGTGTGACCTCTATGGGGGGCAATTTGGTAGCTTCTATCACAATTACAAATGTATATACCTTTTTTGTTGTTGTTAATCCTCACCTGAGGATTAACCTGGGGGAGAGAGACAGACAGACAGACAGACAGACAGACATAGATGTGAGAGAGACACATGGGCTGGTTGCCTCCCAAATGTGCCCCAACCGGGCCGGGGATCGAATCTGCAAACCAGGTACGTGCCTTGACAGGGAATAGAACATGCAACACTTTGGTACATGGGCTGACGCTTTAACCACTGAGCCAGGTCAGTCTGGGCACAAATGCATATACCTTTTGATTCAATAATTCCACTTCTGGGATTTTACTACATTTGCAAATATGCAAATTGATCTACATAGTCACATCAGTATCATTTGTAAGAGCTTAAGATTAGAAATATTTCAAGTGCCCATCCACAGGGTAGTGTTTAAAGAAATAGAGTACTTATGATCACAAAATGAAATCATGCAACTATAATAAAGAATGAGGAAAAATAAAATAAATACATAAATAAAAAAGAATGAGGAATATGGCTTTGGATTGCTATGGAAAGATCTCTTAAGATATATCATTAAGTTAGCATGGTCTATAGCAGTGTATATACTATGCCATTTTTTGTTTTAAGAAAGTGTAACATAATCTCTGTGTTTTTTGTATGTACACAAAGAAGTTCTAGAAGAATCCATAAAATACTAAGAACATTGGTGATGTGTAACAGGGATCAGAAAGAGGTTTTCCACTGAATAGTTTGTTTTGGATTTTAACCATGTGAATGTCATACCTTTCCATACAATTAGAAATTTAGATAAATGACAACAGAGATACACTGCAGCTGTGCCATGACCACAGCTACATGAGGTTTATATCTGCTCCTGGATAAAGCCTGGACTGGGAGGGAGGAGACAGCACAGCATCCTGAGTGAGAGGGATGGTTTATTCTTATAGATGTTCAAGAAGTAAATATTAAAAACAAAAAACAAAAACAAAGTAAACTGTCCCAGCAACAGCAGAGCAGCTTGCCCTCTGCTCGACTCCCCCTAAGCGTCCTCCAGGGCTAACACTTGCTGGCAAGAGCACAAACAGAGAGAGCAAACTCACCGTCTTCTTCATCTTTTCCACGAAGCTGCTGTCTTTGACAGAGGAGGTCCTGAAAAACAAGTGTCAGATGGACATGGGATGCATATGGCAGCATCGAGAAGCATTCTCCAGTGAGCTTGCCAGTAGCTGCCTCTGGTCCAGTGCCAGGGCTGCCAGGCCTCCTCCCCATTCCCTCATAGTAAATCCAAAACCCCTTGACACCAATACCTGGTAGAGCCCAATACCTGGTAGAGCCCAGATAGATGAGAACAAAGAACAGTCAAGGACCTCATTTCTCCGTCCCTCAGCATCCATAGCCAATGGGCCCCTCAGCCTTGTCTCACCTCCAATTCCTGCCTCACACAGCACCCTGGAGTCTCCTAAATATGGGTTTGATTGTGCCACTGCTTGCTTCATTCTTAAACCCTCAGTGGCTCTCATGTCTCACAGGATAGGGATACACAGTTCCTTCAGAATCTGTCCCCAACCTTGCCCGAGTCTCCCCACCACACATCACTCTCTTCATGATAGCCCTCAGATTCCGTCAAGCCATCACCTCTAGTCAGAGCACCCTCATCACACTTCCTTGCCAATAGCTCCCTGCTCCACCCAAGGCCCTGCCTAAGTACCAACTCACCTGGGATTCCTAAGCAACCACCCCCCTTCCTGCCCCTTCTCTGTAATGGGGCCACACTTAATTGCTCCCTTCTCTGTCATCCTGGCACTTTCCAGAGCCCTGAACTGGGCCCTATCCCGTCAGAGAGAAGCACCACCGCTGGGTACATCACAGCACCAGGATCCTCTGTCTACTCTCTGCCTCTTGGCTGCCAGCCTCCGGTTCCTTCCCTGTCCGTTTCCAATCCTTTTTCTCCTCTTTCCTTGCCCCAGGCCTGCAGGGACATCTAAAGAAGCCAAGTGAGCCTCTTCAGGGGGTCTTTAGGCCTAAGGCAGCAAGGTGGGAAAAACAGAAGACGTTTGCAAAATATGTGTATCTGACAAAGGACTTGGGTTGAGAATATAATTCCTATAATCCAATCAGAAAAAGACACACTATTCAACCAAAAAATTGTCAAGAGACTTGAACAGGCATTTTCTTAAAGAGAGTACCTAAATGGCCAAAAAACCTATGGAAAGGTGGTCAACATTCATATCCAGGAAAAGCTGTGGAGCAACCAGAACTGCCACACACCTTCGGGGGAGGGCAATACGCCACAACTTCCTTGATAGGCTGTTGGGCAGTATCTTCTATAACCCAGCAATTTACTCTTTGGTATAGGCCTATCGCAGTGCATTTGTACCCGTGCATCAAGAGACGTACCAGGAATGTTCTAGGCAGCATTAGACATGGGAGTCCCCACAGGAAACAACCCTATTGTCCATCAGCAGAATAAACAAACTGTGGTATATTCATACAATGGAACATTCTCCACTGCAGCAACAAAAAAGATGATCACTACACGCAGTACTATGAATGAATCTCACAAACATGAATTTGAGTGAAATAAGCCACATAGAAAGGACTACATATGTATGATATCATTATATAAAGTCCCCAAACAGGCAAAACTGATGTGTAGGAACAGTGGGCAAGGACAGCAGGAGGACTCCTGGTGGTGAGTAACACTTGTTGACACGGCGAGAATCATCTATCTGTGTGTACCTTTCTGCGGCTATTCTATTTCAATAAAATGTGTATACTTATTCTCAGGCAGGTGTGGGAGGCAACGAGGTAGAGGAGTCTGGGTAGGGGCTCTGGAGTCAGACAGACCTGGGTGCCATTCCTAGCCCATCAATTTACAGCTGAGTGAACTTGAACCAGAACTCATTGCTCCTCAACTAGAAAATGGGGATAAGAAAACACTTCGAAGGTTTCTGCAGAGATCAAATGAAGAAAAGGGATATAAAGGACCCAGCGAGCATCCAGCACGAGGCAGGATCCATAACTGATGGCTGTCACTGGGAAGGGAGTTCCTGCCACTCCCCTGGCCACCTCCCCTGCCAGATCACAGCCAACAGCAGGGTCTCTGGGCGGCCGGAGTGCACCCTCAAGTCCTCGCACAAAAGTTTGTGGCACACACACACACACAAGTTTGTGACACAGAGTGACAGAAGGTATGTGCAGGCAGGTGCTGACTTTCCACAGCTTTTCTGAAGTTAGCTGATGGATGGCCTCCACACTCATGCCATTTTAGTTAGCAAATCCTGTTAACGGAGTGGCCAAGATTATCCCAATTTTCAAATCAGACAAGTCCAGACAAGCAGCTACGCTTTTCATGAAACATGGATGGGCCATGGAGGGGATCAAAGCAGGGCAGAGACTTGATGAGGTCTGAAGGGGCCCAAAGTGGACTGTGTGTGGGGTGGGGTGGGCTGAGCTAGGATCAGACGTGAAACAGAGCTGGCCTCAGGGAGGGTGCAGAGCCTCCACCTTTCTTATTCCGCCATTGGGGCTCCCTGGAGGCTGTCTAGAGCTCAGCGGCTCCCTTCTGCCTTCAGCCTGCCAGTCGGGGCTCCACATGCTAGTCCGAAAGGCTGGCCAGAGGGTGAGGATGAAACTGCAGATGGCCAGGCACTTCGGCCTAGGGGTAACATGTTGGAAATGTGGGGTCTCGTGAAGGTGATGTGAGATCACATCCAGAAAGCCCCTATCACAAAGCAGGCCCATCCCCACTCCCAGTACAGAGGAGACCGAACGTCCACTTTACCGACAGTTGAGAGGCTTGACAGCAGCACTTGTGCCAGGTCCTCTGGCCACTAAGTGGCCAGGCAAGGACCAATCCCTGCCTGATTCCAAGGTCTTTGCTCTGTCCTCCAGCGCACAGAAAGTGTACTAAAGAGCAGAACGCCAGCAGGCACACACACGTATGTCACAACAGTGTAAAAGTGATGTCCTCGCCCTGGCCGGTTTGGCTCAGCGGTTAGAGCGTCGGCCTGCGGTCCGGAGAGACCCGGGTTCGGTTCCCGCTAAGGGCACGTACCTTGGTTACAATTTGATCCCGGCCCTGGTTGGTCGTGCGGGTGGCAGCCACTCGATGTGTCCCTTTCACGTTGATGTTTCTCTCTCTCTCTCTCTCTCTCTCCCTCTCACTCTATCTGTACAAAAAATGGAAAAACGTCCTCGGGTGAGGATTAAAAAAAAAAAGTGATGTCCTCCAGAAATAGAGGCCTGGAGTCCATGGGAAAACTTACTAAGTGAAGGTTTCTTTTAAGACTACCTCTGCAGCTCGGCCAGTGTGGCTCAGTGGTTGAGCATCAACCCATGTACCAAGAGGTTGCCGGTTTGATTCCCGGTCAGGGCACATGCCCAGGTTGTGGGCAAAATCCCCAGTGGGGGGCATGCAGGAAATGACCAACCAATGTTCTCTCTCATCAATGTTTCTATCTCTCTCTCCCCCTCCCTTCCTCTCTCTCTAAAGTCAATAAAGAAAAAAATTTTTTAACAAAAATACCTTTGCAAAGCTGTTTAGACACATAACTTTGTAAACATAAAGATGGAAGTTTCATGTTTAAGCCCCCACTGGGTTTTTCACTAGGTTAGTAGGAACAGGACTATTAGGACCTACTAACCTATTTAGTATGAAATAGTAGGCTACTTTCAGGGCCTTCGTGCTAAATAATGTTACATGTGCGGCCCTGTGGGAGGCAAGGCCTGGTGCCTGATTTGGCCACTCCAGCTTCTCTCCTCTGTCCTAGAGGCCCTGTCAGGGCAGCAGCCCCTCAAAGGGCCAGCGGGGGGCCACCTACCCAGGCTCCCCCACCCAGTGATGGCCTATCCTCAAAGGAATCCAGAGAGTCCTCCCTCCCCCCCCCACCAATTCCCATTACTCCAGCATGCCCAAGGCAGGCCCATCCCAACATGAGCAGGGCTAGGGCAAGAGCAAGAATGGAGGCCCTCAAGGCCTGCCCCCTCTCCCTTCCCATTCCAGCTCCAACCTACATTCCAAAGGGGACTTGTGTCTGAACATCTTTCCTACATGTCCAACTTCTGTCCAAGTCCCGCCACCACCAACCACATGTTCACTACCCCTCTAGATCACGTGCAGCCTAAACTAGAACGCTGGCCGTCTGTCTCTGCCCTAGCACGGTCGGCTCGCCAGGCTGCGCTGAGATGAAGACAGCAAGGTGCGCAGTGTGTGAACTCTACCGCTCTGTTCCTTTTGACTTGGAGTCATGAGAATATATTACTTACTAAAGTTGAACCGAATGTAAATTTAAACTGATGGTTACGAAAACTATCAGCAATCTAGACAAACATTACTGATTAAATATTATGAGAGAAAAAAAGCAAATACAAAACTAAATGCAATTTCCATTTATATGAAATGTACAGAACAGGCAAATTCATAGAGACAAAGTGATGCCAGGGGCTGGGGGAGGGGGATAGGGTGTGACTGCTTAATGGGACAGTGTTTCCCTTTGAGGTGATGAAAATGTTTTTGAATTAGTGAAGATGGTTGTACAACACTGTGACTATACCAAAAGCTGTGAGATAGTATACTTTAAAATGGTTGCCTGGCTGGTGTGGCTCAGTGGACTGGGTGTCATCCAATGGACTGAGAGGTCCTGGTTTGATTCCCAGTCAGTGCACATGCCTGGGTTGTGGGCTTGATCCCCAGTAGGGGGCACGCAGGAGGTAGCTGATCAACATTTCTTTCTCACATCAATGTTTCTCTCTCTCTCTCCCTTCCTCTCTTAAAAAAACAAACAAAAAAAAAACAATAAAAATGTATTTAAAAAATAATAATAAAAAACGTGCCCTGGCTGGTTTGACCATTGGCCTGCAAAACAAAGAGTTGCAGGTTTGATTTCAATCAAGGGCACGTGCTTTGGTTGCGGTTCGGTCCCCGGCCCTGGTTGGGGTTGTGTGGGAGGCGGCCAATGTGTCTATTTCCCATCGATGTTTCTCTCTCTTGTTCTCTCTCTTTCTCTCCCCCTCCCACTCTATCTAAAGATAAAATGGAAAAACATCCTCAGGTGGGGATTAAAAAATATACACACACACACACACACACACACACACAAACACACATATAAAATTAAAAATGGGGGGCAACTCAAATGTCTAAAAAT